GGCGTATTGACATACAGAGGGATCTGGGTGTACAGGTCCACAGATCCCTGAAAGTGGCAACACAGGTGGATGGGGTGGTCAAGAAGCATACAGCATGCTTGCCTCATCAGCTAAGACATTGAATATAAAAGTTGGCAAGTTATGTTACAGCTGTACAAAACTTTAGGTCGCCACATTTGGAATATTGCATGCAGTTCTGGTCATCATACTACCAGAAGGATGTGAATATTTCAGAGAGGATGTAGAGACGATTTACCAGGATGTAGCCTGGTTTGGAGGGTTTTAGTTATGAGGACAGGTTGGATAAAAGTGGATTGTTTTCACTGGAAAGACGGAGGCTGAAGGGTGACCTGTTAGAGGTCGACAAAATTATGACGCATAGATAGGGTGGATAGTCAGAGGTTTTTTTCCCAGGTTGGAAAGGACACATGTTCTAGGTGAGAGGGGAAAGTTTAGAGTAGAAGTGAGGGGTCGTAGCTGCCTGGAATGTACTGCCAGTGAAAGTGATGGAAACAGGCACGTTAGCAATGTTTATGGCTTATCTTGATAGACAGATGAACAGGAGGTGAACAGAGGGATAGAAACCATGCATGGGCAATAAATGGCATGCCTAAATAAGGATTAGGAATCAGTGCTGGCTAAATGGGTCAAAGGGCCTGTTCCTGTGGTGTATTGAATTTAAAATAGTATTGGTTCCCATCACGGAGGACTCTGGATAAGAATCATTGAGATTTTGAGTTGCGCTGTTTTAATTACTCTATAGGCTGTAGGCAAGTGTTTCCCCAGGAAATCCTCTGCTGACTTCTCTTATTTTTAAATCTTCTCCAACATTGGTGAAATAAATCCACAAGAGTCTGGTCACCCTTTATTTACATGTGGAAAGTCCTTGACACTGATCCAGCCCTCTCAGAACCAGCCCTCAGAGTGAGCTGAACCTCTGGCACTCCTATTTATATCTGTCAGCCAGGGCTCCCTGATTGGACCAGATTAACAGCCCCCACCAGGAAACTCATATTTTATGAGGTCCACCTGGCTGACGTCATTACAATCACTACAATTGGGTCTTGTTCGTCTCATTTATCCTGGCAGCCTGTGTACAAGGAGTAATCTTTTAGTGTCTGAAGTGAGCAGCATCCCTGACAGTCAAATGATAAAAGTTAGAAAATCCCAGAATTTAAATACTTGTGATCAAATGTACAAATTGTTTCAAGTTCAGTTTGGGTTTCCAATATTGACTGGAATATTAATAATATCACTGAATCCCCCACTATCAACATCCTGGGAGTTATCATTGACCAGGAAAGCAACTGGACTCACCTCATAAACACAGTGGCTACAAGAGCAGGCCAGAAACTAGGAATACTGCAGCGAGTAACTCACCCCTGACTCCATTTGAACATGGACTGCTTCATTATCTAATGGGATTGAAATAGTGAGGTGACATGGACGTAGATTTCTTTGTGTAGATCTCTATGACTCTGTGACTGACTCCTCTGAAGACTTGCCACCCCACAATATTATCCCACTGTGCACAATGGGAATTCCGTAATGAAGATGATTAAAGATTAACATTGTGTGACACTATGAACTTCAGAACTTCAAAACTGGTCATCGATTGAATGAATCAATAGAAGATAAACTGTAACACACTGAATGAAGTAGCAATAACTCTATCTGGAATAAATAAATGTAAGTTTATCCACTTTGGTGGAAAAAACAGGAAGGCAGATTATCATCTAAATGTGGCAGTTTAGAAAAAGGTGAACAGCAATGAGACCTGAGTGTCATAGTGGAACAGTAACTGAAGTATGGCATGCAGGTGATGAGGAAAGCTAATGTCATGTTGGCCTTAGAATGAGTGTCAGAGTAAATATGTCTTGCTGCAGATATACAGAGCCTTGGTGAAACCACACCTTGAGTATTGTATTGGTCTTCTACTCTGAGGAAGGACATTCTTACTGTTGAGGAAGTCCAACAAAAGTTCACCAGACTGATTCCCAAGATGGCAGGACTGACATATCAGGAAAGACTGGACCGACTGGGCTTGTATTTGCTGGAATTTAGAAGAATGAGGGGATCTCATAGAAACATATAAAATCCTGATGGGACTGGACAGGATAGATGTGGGAAGAATGTTCCCAAAGTTGGGGAAGTACAGAACTAAGGGTTACAGTCTAAGAATGAGGGGTAAGCCATTCAGGACTGAGATGAGGAAGAACTTTTTCACTCAGAGTTGTGAACCTGTGGAATTCTCTCCCACAGGAAGCTGTTGGGGCCAATTCATTAGATATATTCAAGAGGGAGCTGGATGTGGCCCTTGTGGCTAAAGGGATTGCGGGGTTTGGAGAGAAAGTGGAAATGGGATACAGAGATTGCATGATCAGCCATGGTCATATTTGAAAGGTGGTGCAGGCTCAAAGGGCCGAATGGCCTATTTGTGCACCTATTTTCTTTGTTTCTCTGTAAACTATTTAAGGACATGGACAAACGTATACAGGAATAAAAAGCAATCATCAGTTTATCACCTCATAGAGCTGAAGGATAAAAATCTGTCTAAGAATCAAACACCAAAATGCCCCTTCAGCCAAACTCTAGAGAATAACTTTGCATGAGGATGGAACCCTGGACACCTCCAGAGACAGACTGCTGTTGGTGGGATTGTGTCCAAGTTCCACCATTATTTGGGTAAGAGCCAAATTGAGTTGGGAGGCTTCACTTGCTTACTTGAGGGGTCTTATTTTGGTTGCTACATGCAATGAAGTTGAAATCGTTGTCTCAATACTTGATTGTCTGTGAGATTTCTTAAGTAGTGAGTTAAAGAGAACTTGTAGTGTTTTACCCACAACTGTATCTGTGTTCTGTTCAGACAGACTCAAATCCAGGAATGCTCTGCTCTCTAATAAATAAACCCCTACAATCCGCTGGACATTATCCTGGCATCAAATGACAGTGTCAAGCAACTCTTCGCCTGACCTCTGACCTGCCGTGTAAATCTGCTGAGGAAAAAGCCTGAGACATTTCACGGTGTTTAATGAAACTCGGGTGAAAGAGCAGATCACCCGTCATTGTTCACAAGCTACAGGCTGAATGTGTTGCTTTGTCACAGAATGACAGCAATGACAGGTAGGATGAAGGGAAGGTGGGAGGATAGGTGGGAGAGAAGATGGACAGGTTGTGTCAGGTCAAGGAGGCGGGGATGAGAGGGAGGGTTGGTCATGGGATGAGGCCGGGAGTGGGGAGATTTTGAAACTGGTAAAGTCCACATTGAGACCATTGGTTTGGAGGTTCCCGAGGCGGAATATGAGGCCCTTCTCCTCCAGTTTCCAGGTGGTGTCATTGTGACACAGTTCATCCACTTTACTAACACCTTTCACCCCAACCTCAAGTTCACCTGGACCATCTCTGATACCTTTCTCTCCTTCCTGGATCTCTCTGCCTCCATCTCTAGTGACTGCCTCGAAACCAATATCTATTTCAAGCCCACAGACTCCCACAGCTACCTAGACTACACCTCCTCTCACCCACCTTCCTGCAAGAATGATATGCAAGATAGATATCAGTTTCAAGGCAGTCACCAAATATGGAGAGGTATCAGAGATGAATAAACAGTTTCCATCAGAGATAGGCAGTGAGTGTGTGACATTGCAGTACTGACCTTATAAAGAAGCTTCCGCAACAGTTCAAAGAAATTGCACTAATCTTCAAGCACAGAACAGAGAAATAATCATGTGTTGTCAATATTAATAAAAACACCTTCTTCCTGCAGCACGTTGCAGTGCTGTGGGACTAAAATTTTCTAAATTCAGTTCCCCGCACTATCTGGCCCCATTCAATCTATCACTACCAACAAAACAGAGTCAGTACAGCTCAACAGAAACTGAAGAATGTACCATGGCTGAGTGTTGGTTTCTAACAGAAGTATCCAGTTCCAGTTGGACTTGAGATTTAAACAGAATGAAACAAAGCCACATTATGAATAAAAACACATGAATAAATTCACCAGGAATCAGCTCACACCAACATGTGGGACATCTTCACATGATCCGACCCTGCAGCACAATCGTCTCCATGGCTTCACTCCAAAATGCTCCAATGGGATGTCCCAGCTGAGGGAAAGGCAGCACCATGTCAGCTTCAGGACCATTCTCTCCAGCTCAGGGTGAAGCTGTTGGAGTGATTTGCTGGTTACTCTCAAAACTGGATTCCTTCCTCCAGATGGGTCCAAATGGCCTAAATCCAAACACTAGAAACAGCGGGAGCCCGAGATATTGGAATGGAGTTACACTGTCCCCATCACATCAACCCACAGCCTGCTCGACTGGAATGTATGCAGGAGTGGCGATGTCCCTGAGAGACAGGGCTGATCTGAGCCCCGAGAGAATTAAAACCAGACAGTGCAAAATGCCATCCTTAGGCCTCACATCGGTACGTTTATAGTGGATGCAGTATAACTCCAGTCCATTTCTGATGAAGGGTCTAGGCTCAAAACGTCAGCCTTCCTGTTCCTATGATGCTGCTTGGCCTACTGTGTTCATCCAGCTCTACACCTTGTTATCTCATTAAGCACACTGTCTGTTTCTGGGCATGTTACATACTGACATTTCAATATTCAGGAAAGGAGCTGCTCCCATCACATTGATGATGACAGACAGATAGAACTCCCTCACAGAGGATCCCAGTGATGTACAGCAAGTTGACACAATGTCTCTGACCAGTAGATGTATCTCCCTCAGATACCAGTTCGAGACGGGTAGCTGGGGATCAAGCTGTTTCTAAAAATTGGACAGAAGCCCCAGCTTGTCATGTCTTTCTATTCTAATTCTAACCACAGCTGAACTATAAGCTCAATTCTACAAAGTGACAGACCCTTTTGGTTCAGCTACAAAGACTGGATCTGCAAGGTCAATTAATTACATCAATAGACACATCCAAACAATTATCCATATAATCAATAAACAGCAACAAAGCAAAGATTTCCCTTATTTCACTGAAAACTGTTGAAGGTTTTAAACAGAAATGTGTAATTTATAAAAAAGTAATTTATACATTGCACAAATCAAAATTTGCATTGAGTATATATCGAATACAATCTCAGTACAGGTGCGAAGCAGGGTTTCAATAAATAAATAATGTCAACATCAGAACTAAATATCCTAGAAAATATATTGTATGCTGTACAAACTTCACCCAGATAAGGCACCCTTCCAACAGTAAACACTGCCACAGCAGAGATACACCATTCACAACGGTCAATGGTCAAGTTGTCATAGACTTTGAGCAGATTATTCTCACAAATTACATAATCTAGAGACTGCAAATACTAATGACAAGTTACTGACAGGAACAACAATGAAGGCAGTCTGCAGCCTTTATCCACTATGTATGAAGTCTGCACATTCTCCCTTTGTCTGTGTGGGCTTCCTCCAGGTCCTACAGTTCCCTCCCCCAGTCCAAAGATGTGCAAGTTAGAGGGATCGGTCGTGCTAGATTGCCCACAGTGTCCAGGGATGTGCAGGCTAGGTGGATTAGCCATGGAAATGCAAGGATGGAGTGGGTCTGGGTGGAGTATTTGAAGGGTCAGTGTAGACTCAATGGGCTGAATAGCCTGCTTCCAAGGGACTGAATGGTTCTACGATGTGAATGAGGAATATCTGTCAGTGTTAAAACCTCACTGTCATTCCTTATATAGTGTAAGGTCTAGTCCCAATGATACTGTATGTTTCTGTGCTGAAGAAAGTCAATCATTTAAATTATGCAATGTCAGTAATAATGGTACTGGGGCAAAGTAAAAATCCACTAGATCAACAGTGAAACAGAATTAGACAATTTTGAATGATGAGGCTTCGATTATATTGGAGACATAAACCTCAAAGAAGGGGTCAATGACACACAATAAGTGATACCATTGGAAGGGAAGGCGAGAGGGAAGGAGGACAGAGGCTAAAACTAGAGGCTGGATTCCACATCTCCCCTTCCTTACCATTACCCAGCAGCCTCACAGAGAGTAGAAGGATACAGATGACAATACAATGAGATGAGGCCAAGTGGATCACCATAATATCAACCACCATAATTGATTTGGTTAGCAATGATTTTTGTAGTAATTAACAATTAATACAAATATTCAAATCGACACTCAAATAAAAATTATTTTGGGATAGTTTCATATGTGCTTGGACAATAATTACTAAAGAAGTATTCTATTAAAGATTGACTTTCTTTGATTTGAACTTTCTTATTGCCAAACATATAATGCCAGACATGAACTCCACTCGTCTTTGAGAATTCTTTTTCAATCTCATTACTGGTCTTGTTCCAAGTATTTTTTTGAAAGTATCTCCCCCAGTTGCTGTATGGAATTGGGTAGAACCAGTTGTTGGACAAGTACACAATCCCATTGCAATCTTTGTTGAAGAGGTTTTGAAGGTTATCAGTTCCAGACCATTTCTTCAGCATTCGGGTAATCAGTCTCGGACCCTGTTGGCCCCAAACTCCTCCAATGTACTTCTCAACAAAATCTCTTAAGCAACTCTCGATGAAGGAATGCGAACGGTTAAATCCCAAAGCTGCATTATTAGCAGAATGTTCTGATTCTGCACAGATAAAGTTTCGGAAGTCCAAGGGTTTGAGTGAAATGATATCCGTGTCCAGATAGATGCCCCCGTACTTCCACAGCAAGGCAAGCCGACAGCCATCTGCGAGCACATGGAGCCAATGTCTTTCCTTGCTGGGATCTACCTGGAACAGAGTAAAATTCATTATTTAGAATTTTGTTATTGTAAATCATCCTTCAATTCAAACGCTGGACATTTGACTTTCTATGCCATTATCCAAGTCATTAATAATATGAATAATTGAGGCCCTAACACAGATCCTGTGGGATACCATTGGTCACATCTTGCCAGCTTGAGTACCCACCCATTATCCCTACATTCTGTTGCCTGCAAGTCAAACAATTTCCCAGCCATGTCAGTAATTTACTTTCAATTCCAGTTAGCTTAGCATGGTAAGGAAGGACAGATCACATTGGGAGTGAGACACAGCCTGAATGAGAATATAGTTTGTGGAATTTTGGGGTCGGTGTGGGAATTCGGTGCACGTAGGTATTAACGATATACATAGAAAGAGGAAAGAGGTTCTGCTGGGGAAGTATGAACAGGTAGAGGCTAAATTAAAGAAACAGAACCTAAAAGGTAATAACCTCCTTTTTAGTACCTGATCCACAAGCTAATTGGCACAGGATCAACAAGATTGAAGAGGTAAACATGTGACTCATGGATTGGTGTGGCTAAAACGGGTTCAAAATCATGGATCGTTTTCACTAGTACTAGGGAAGGAGGGAGCTGTTCCAATGGGATGGGCTCTAACTGAATCATGCTGGGACCAGAGTCATAGAATCATACAGAATGGAAACAGACCCTTTGGTCCAACCAGTCCATGCTGACCATGATTCCAAACTAAACTAGTCCCACCTGCCTGTGCTTAGCTCATATCCCTCCAAACATTTCCTATTCATGTACTTATCTAAAATATCTTTTAAACTCAGAAATTGTATCTGCAATCATCACTTCCTCTAGAAGTTCATTCCACACATGAACCACTCTCTGTGTAATAAAATTGCCCATCATGTATTTTTTAAATCTTTCTCTTCTCATCTTAAAAGTGTGCCCCCTTATCTTGAAATTCTCTATCCAAGGGAAAAGACACTTGTCATTCACCTTATCTACATCCCTCATGATTTTATAAACCTCCATAAGGTCACCTCTTAACCTCCTACACTCCACTGAAATAAGTCCCAGCCTGTCCAGCCTCAAAACTCAAACCCACCATTCCTGGCAACATGCTGGTAAATCTCTACTGAAACCTCTCCAGCTTAATAATATTGTTCCTATAACAGGGAGACCAGAAGTGGACACAGTACTCCAGAAGAGGCCTCATCAACGTCCTGTACAATCTCAACACGATGTCCCAACTCCTATACTCAAAGCTCTGAGCAATGAAGGTAAACACGCTAAACATCTTCTTAACCAACCTATCTATATGTGATGCAAACTTCAAAGAATTACGTACCTGAACCCCTGATCTTTCCGATCTAGAACTTTATCCAAGACCCTACTTTTAATTGTATAAGTTATACTTTTGTTTGCAAAGTTCTGCCAAATCACATAAGTATGACTGTAAATAGGGCTTTAAGTAAATAGTTAGGGGTGAGTTCAGTTGCATAGAAAATTATGATAAATGTTACAGATGGGAAACACTCAGTAAAAGTTATTAAAGTTTCCAGAACAAGTAATAGGACAGAGAGTATGGAATGAGTCAGGAATCTAGGCACAGCAGGTAAGGGGACAACGATGAAAAAGAGGCAGTCAATGTAGGATTGAGGGTGTTGCATTTAAATGCACACAGTATATGAAGCAAGGCAGATGAGCTTGTAGTGCAGATTTAAATTGGTGGTTATGATGTTGTGGGCATCACACAGACATGGCTACAAGGGGATCAGGGCTGGGAACTAAATATCCAAGGATACATATCCTATCAAAAGGACAGGCAGATGGACAAAGCGGGGAAGGGGTGCCTTGTTTGTAACAAGCAATACCAAGAAATGATGTAACATCAGTCAGCGTAGAATCTGTACGGCCAGAGTTAAAGAACAACAAAAGAGAAATGGCCAATAGTGGATAACACAGAGTGGAGCTGGAGGAGCACAGCAGGCCAGGCAGCATCAGAGGAGCAGGAAAATTGACGCTTCAGGTCAGGACCCTTCTTCAGAAATGGGGGAGGGGGACGGGAGCTCCAAAATAAATAGAGAAAGAAGGGAAGGTAGGAGGGATGGTGAAGGCATTTATTGTGATCTTTCAGAAATGGCTGGAGTCAGGTTGTGTCCTCGAGGACTGGAAATGGCTCATGCAACACCCCGTTTAAAAAGGGAGGGAGACAGAAGATAAAAACTTCAGCCTGACATCAGTCACTGATAAGATTATTGAGAGTCTATTATTAAGGCTAAGATTGCCGAGTAATTGGAAGTGCATGATAAAATAGGGCTCTTTCTGCATGGTTTCATCAGGGGAGGGCAGCCTGACAAATCTGTTAGAATTCTTTGAGGAGGTAATGAGCAAGTTAGACAAATGAGAGCCAGTGGATGTGATCTCTTTGGATTTCATGAAGGCCTTTGACAAGGTACCACACAGGAAGCTGCTAAATATGATAAGAGCCCATGGTGTTAGCATCAAGGTCCTGGCAAAGATAAAGGATTGGCTGACTGGCAGAAGGCAGAGTGGGAATAAAGAAATCTCTTTCAGCAGGGTAGCCAGTGACTACTGGAGTTCTATACGGGTCAGTTTTGGGATAACTATTCATATTATACATTAAAAATCTGGATTAACTGAGGGTATTATTGCTAAGTTTGCAGATGCCGCAAAGATAGGTTTAGAAGCAGATAGTGTTGAGGAAGTAGGGACGCTGCAGGAGGACTCAGACAGGCTAGGCCAGTGGGCTAAGAAGTCGCAGGTGGAAGGCAATTTGGAAAAATGTGAGATTGTGCACTTTAATGGGAAGAATAGAGGCATAGATTATCTTCTAAATGAGAAAACGCTTCAGAAGTCTGGAGCACAAAAGGATTTGGGAGTCCTAGTTCAGGGGATTTTCTTAAGGTTAACGTGCAGGTTCAGTTCACAGCTAGGAAGGCAAATGCATTGTTAGCATTCATTTCAAGAGGGTTATAATACAAGACCTGAGATGTATTGCTAAGGCTGTATAATGCTCTGGTCAGACCACATTTGGAATATTCTGGATGAACACAGCAGGCCAAGCAGCACATA